GGCCAGGTGTGTGGGCATGCTGCTGTGACACACTTTCTGGGTCAGAGGTGATGCCTGGGGTGGAGGAGCCTCCACCAGCTGCCCCGAGGTCTCATGTCCTCCTTCATGTTAATAAAGGGGGTGGGTGGGGTGTAATACATAAGCCAGAGACTCCAAAGAGGAAGTAGTTGGCTAGACCCCCGTCACCGCTCTGCTCAGCCCCCTGCAGCCACAATAAATGCCACCGCTGCCGAGCGAGCCCACAGGTGGGGTGTGTTCTCTGGGGACAAGGCTGGACCCAGGCGGGTGCTCTGGGAGGAGCCTGGTTCACTTTCATCTTCCAGCTGGTGTTCCTGGGCTGGTAGCAGCATCTCCACATGCTGTCTGTCCTCCTGTGCATGTCTGACTGTCCACTCCGTTCCTGACTGCGCAAGCCTAACTTAGACCTGTAAGGGACAGGTCTCAGGTGGTCTGCGGCAGAAGCACCTGTATTTCCAACCAGGGTGTTGTTGACTGGGGTGGGGGCGGGGGGCGGTGTGGACAGGAACGGAGCCCTTCAGCGCCTTCTCAGTTGTCTGCACCAAGACCCCAGACTGCCACCGCAGGAAGTTCCCTCAGGTCCCTCCCTGTCTGCTCCTGCTCCATGACAAGCTTGCCAGCCCCACCCCTAGGCCGCCCTGCCTGTTCTCCCCCAGCAAGTGGGGTCAGATAGTGTCTTGTGTTCGCTGCTTCCTCCTGACGCGCTGCCAGGGCCTTTCTGTGTTGCTGCGTGTACCAGGGCCTTCTGCCACGGCTGCACCCCACATCTGAATAAAAAGCCCCATCACTGTCACCTGGGGTGAGTGTCCATGTCTGAGTGACCGGGAGGGGGTTGCCAGGAGCTGGGCTTGTGTGTGAGAGAGGCGGGGAGTCCTGTGGACCGAGTGCCCCTTTCTCTCCGGCAGCTCCTTGTGGGGGGCTTGCTGGGCGGTGGACAGAGGTCTGTGAGAAATGAAGGTACCAGACTCCATGGTGGTTGTACCACTGTATGCCCCCCCACCCCAGATGTTGGCGGGTTCTGGTCCTTCAGCATGCTCACAGCCTGGCGGGGAGGCGACAGCCCCGGGGGACCCACGCTGCTCCTTCCTCTGTCCATGGCCACTTCCAGCTCAGGCGACAAATTGACTCCCTGTCTTTGGGGCCACTGTCCCCCTCTCTGCAGTGGCTATCTGCCCACTGGGCGCCCCTGGGGACGCCTGGGGCAGAGTGGGTCCCCTTCCTCATGGTGCCTTCCCCCCACTGCAGTCTTTGGGGGCTGGGCATGGTAGGGGGCGGTGTGCCCACCACTCTCTCTCTACTTTGCGGGCCAAGCAGCCTCCATGCCCCCGTCCCTCTCCCTCACCAGCCTCGTGCCCGGGCTACCCGCTTCCCACCTGCGAGTCTGTGTTGCCTGAGCCTTCAGGGGCCAGATAGATGTCACAAGCAGACAGGAAAGGGGTCTTTGGCCAGCAGGCCCCAATGCCATGTGTGGCTCACACATCACCAGGTCACCGGCAGTCCTTTAGGGTGGCCACCCTGGACCAGGGCTGTCTGAGGCACTGCCTGCAGATGTGCTTCGGTGCAGTTGTCCCGTAAAACATCAGGGAACACGATGGCTGATAAGTGAGGCGAGGCGCGGGTGTGCCACTCTGGGGGGCCAACAGCTCCTCGCTGGGCTGCTAACCGGAAGACGGCCAGTCCAAGCGCTCCCAAAGGCCTGTGGGAGAAGCCATGGCATCTGCCTCTAGGAGACACCAGCCACCTATGGGACAATGCTGCTCCATCCCATGGGGTCTCAATAAGCACCCGGCACAGCGACAGGTGACACCTGTGTCTCTTCTCTTAATAACCCCCCTTCCCATCAAGTGGATTCTGAGCCACAGCGGCCTGACAGGACAGGGCAGCACCGGCATACAGAATCCCTGAGGTTGTATAGCATTACGGAAGCAGGTGGCCACGTCTCTCTCCCACTGAGCTGCTGGTGGGTTCAAATGGCTGGTGTTTCAGCACTTAACCACGGCGCCACCGGGGGTCCTCGAGATGTGGGCATTCACCCTGAACGCTGTGTCTTCCTGGGAAGGCTTGGTGAGCCGGAGCCCAGGGCTCCCGGAGGATGCTCCCTGTGTTCCCAGGATCGCTGCCAGCTCGGGGGCCTTCGGGTCGCTTTGAGAACCCGACCATCTTTCTAAAAGCCAGCGAGCACACGAGCCCCTTCCCCGGAGTGAGCTGTTCGGCTTGTCCTCCTCGGGGCTTCTCCCATGAAGTGTCTCCCCCAATGAGGGTGGAGGCGGGGAGCCCTGTGACCCAGGGCTGGTTCCAAAGTCCCTCCGTGCCTGCTCCTCTGCTCCACGCCTTCCCTCCCAATCTACTCAGGGACACTTGCCCCCAGCACCGGTCAACAGGAAACTGGAGAAATGGGGTCACACCAACCTGAGACTGGCTCTGCTCCAGCACAGAAGGAGGTGACCGGAAGGCCCTCCTTCCTGAAAGACACAGCACCCGCTTAGGTCATTGCTCTGCTGGTCATCCTCCACACCAGAAGCTGAGGCTATCCCTGTCCTGAGATGCGGCTCCAGCTGCACCTCTCCAGTTTTGCCAGTTTGTGAGTTCAGTGTGTCTCCAGTTAAGATGGCTCGGTATTGCCGGTAACTCCTTTAGCCTAGGATTTATTTAGATATGATATTTTCCCCCTAAGAGCCTAAGAGAATGGCTGGCTGGCTATCTCTAAATCACGGTGCTGTGGCTGGAACACAGCTCTTTGGCACTTGAGGAGCTTTCTGGTCGAATGTCAGCATTTGTGTGACTGATTCACATGGGCTTGAAGGGCAGGTACCTCTATTACGTAGCATGTTCTCACGTTCTTTTAGTCATGTCTGAAAACACCCTACTTGTCTTTTCCGTGGTTGGATCATTTCTGGAACGGGGGGTGGGGGGGTGGGGGCTGGTCGCCCCCATGACTGTGGTCTGAGCTGTCCTCCCGGAGGATGGTTGGGCTGGTCGCCCCCGTGACTGTGGTGTGAGCTGGAGGTGGTTGGCTTCTCACATGTTTGGGGCCATTATTATCGCACGTTTGGCTCCTTAGCTGGACAGATGACTTCTCGTGTTAGCCACTGTGAGCCTGTCTCGGCTCCTTTGAACGTTTTTTACATTCCCGGCGCCCCCCCACCATGACCTGGGTCCCCCGTTTTGGGGGCACTTTGAAATGATTAGTTCTTTAGGTGGGAGTCATGAGGCTCTAACAATGAGCTGATTATTAGGTAGTTGTTTGGGAAAGGATGTGGGGCTGCCCTTGTCTTGAGGACCCACCAGGACTGGATGGCGGGGCGGTGTCTGGTTGTAGGAGGTTGGATGGCTTCAAAGGTGCTAGGTCTGGGTGGGGAGAGGACCCATGGAGAGGAGCCGAGGTGTGAGGGGCACCACACAGTCATGAGCCCCTCTGAAGGCAGCCTCACTCCCACACATACAGGGTGCCATCGGCAGCTACGTACATTCCTGTGAAAGGAAGGGCATCAGAATGGGCTGGGCACAAGGGCCTCCCAGACACCAGTGTTCGGAGGTACGTGTCTGGAGCTGCGGTGGGGGCGGGGGCGACAGGAAGAAGGGCCTGGCTACACATGGCTACAAAGGGCACATGGGGGGGGGGCACAACAGGAGGTGGGTGATGGAGGTGCCCTTTGGAAGAGGCTGGCCTGGGCCACCCTGGGGTCATGGAGGTGAGTCAGCTATGTGTGCTTCTACAGGCAGGAGCACAGGTGTGCAAGGCTCTATGGTGGTGGTGGGGCGCTGGGCCAGTGGAGGGGACAAGAAAGGGCTAGGGGAGTGGGGAGGGGTGGGCTCAGAGGCCTCCCTGAGCATGCCACCCTGGGAGGCTGTGGGAGCCCCTGCTCTGGGTCACATCCTGGGGCTTCTCTCCAGCCACCGTGAGGGAGCTGAGGGCCAGGTGAGCCATGCACCCTCAAGGGTGGGAAAGGGGCGAGGGGGAGGGGGAGGCCAGGCTGAACAGCAAGCAGAGAGAGACCCCGAGCTGCAGAACAAGACTGGTCTGGTGGACACTGAGCTGAGCCCCTCAGGAAAGTCTGGGTCATGGTGACGCAGGGCAGGGGCCAGTGGGAAGCTGGCATGGTCCTTGGGCCCCGGAGCTGGCAGGGCTCTCAGGGAGTGGCTGGTGACAGGGTCCGAAGGCTGCATTGCCTCAGAGGCCTGGGGACCCCACATTCTCCCTGAGGGGTTTCCCTCCACCTGCACCTGCCTGAGCACCCTTCTTACAGCCCCCACCCAGCTCACTCCCGGCCCCATCGCTGCTGAGAGGTAACCCCTAGGGCCTCACTCCCAACTCCCCAGTGACTGACTAGAACTCCCCAGGACACTGGGTGTGGGACTGACTGCTGCCCAGGAGCAGGAGAGGCTGAAGGAAGGAAGTGGCCATGGGCTATGGAGAGCAGAGAGTCTCCCAAGGGTCTGGGGAGGCCATGGGGTGCGGGCTGGGGCCTGGGTGCACATGAGGTGGGCCCCACACCAGAGACTGGCACTGCTGGGTGCACATGCGGTGGGCCCCACACCAGACTGGCACTGCTGGGGACTGTACCCCCCACCTGCCACACGCAAGTAGCCAGGGCCAGGTGTCATGGCGAAGGGGAAGGGGAGTCCTCTCCAGAGGGGAACCGGTGGGACAGGGGACTCACAGTGACAAGGACAGGCCCCGGCCCAGGAAAGAGCAGCCAGCACACAGCACCATGGCATAGGAAGTTTATGTGTTCAGAGTGCACACGGGGGAGGGGCTCTGGACCCCTGATGTGGCCACTTGCTGCCCATGGCAGTGCAGCTAGGCAGGGTGGCACGGGGGCAGTCCTGGGGAAAGAAGGGTCACCAGTCAGCCTGCCTGCCCGCCCGCGTCCCCACCTGAGACCCCGCGGGGCGGCATCCTTGGCCCATCCCCAGTTTGTACAGGGCAGAGTTGTGTGAGTGGCAGCAGGGGGTGGGAGGTAGGTGTTTGGGATCCTGGACTCAGCTCCATAGGTCAGCCCTGGGCCACCCTGTCCCAGCAAGCCCCAGCGCAGCCCTCATGATCACATGTCTCCTGGGACCCCTGCTCCCACCGGCCTCCCAGCTAGGCGCTGACCCAGCAGCACCCTGTGGACGCCCGGGCACTCTGCTTCCAGGGACTCTCTCTCCGGGGTGGAGCTTCTGGTCGGGCCCGAGCCACTGCCCTCCATGCTGCCAGCTGCCAGCCAGTGAGAGGAGTGGGGCCAGGCTGGACCCTGTGGGCACTGGGAGGGTGTGCTGCCACCCAGGGGGCACACCTCTGTCCTCGGGGGTGTGGTGCTGGACTCCTCCTCCAGGCTGGCCCGGTCGGGTCACCCCCTCGAAGATGGGCCTGGGGGGCCTGGGCTCCCTGCGGAGGACGGTGTCCAGCTGGTGCACGTGAGCTGAGGGGACACGTCAGTGGCAGCAAGGCCTCACGGCAGGAAAAGGGCAGGGGATGCATGAGGGCCTGTGGTCTGGACACTCACTCTGAATCGCCGCCTCACAGGCCTGGCTCACCAGCTGATAGATGGCCATGAGGGACTGTGGCTCGCCCTGCAAGGGATGTGCATGTCAGGGACACACGTTTGGGGGGACATACATGTGAGGGACATGCATGTGGGTGTGCATGTTAAGGACATGGGGGTGTGCGTGTTAGGGACATACATGTGGTGTACATGTTAGGGACATGCATGTGGGGCATGTGTGTGAGAGACACACATGGGAGATATGCATGTGAAGGAACATGCATGTGAGGGACACATGTGGTGAGCATGCATGTGTAGGACACACATGTGGAGGACATACATTGAGGGACACATGTGGGG